CCCACTGCTGGGTCACTTGGGCCCTGCCTACACATATACACACATACATACACAAATACATGCCAGTATACGTAAGAAAAGCACCTTATTTCACTTAATTTCGGTCCATGAAGGAGCGAGCTCTTTCTTTCGGGAGGAACGGGGCTCATGGCTCTGTTGGTAATGATGAAGACCCTAAACCCGAAAACGTAAAGCGATACAAAAACCTCGGGTCAGGGGAGGAACGACTTGAAACCGTTCAGATCAGGATGACATCAAGGACTTCTCGCAAAAGTGGCAGCTTGGAGTACGTTTGGTACGGCTTTCAGCGTTTCGACCCCAGGGTTTGACAACTCTATTGGATTGGGTTTAGGGTTTAGGGTTTAGGGTTTAGGGTTTAGGATTTAGGGTTTAGGGTTTAGGGTTTAGGGTTTAGGGTTTAGGGGAGGGCTTTACACGATCCACAAAAATTAGAGTTTGGGGTTTAGGGGTTAGGGTTTAGGATCAAGCAGTAAACCAAAGTCAGAGTGTCATTCAATGTACTTCGGCTCCTGCAGTCTATTGGGATGTGAATTCGGGGTCCTCTTACATGACCGGGCATTCTTTCTGGCCATCCCGTACACGCACCCCAAAACCTACAACCGAAAACCCGAAAGCTTTCTTAAGGCCCGAAAGCCCTAAAGCCTCAAGCCCTAGACCCGAAATCCCAAGTCATGAACCCTTATCCCTGACCTGACCGGGCTGTGCCCACGGCTCCTTTCAAATGTTGTATTTGCGAAAGGAATCGAATATTTCCAAGGTTTTCAGTGTTGCATTCGTGGAGCCCTGAACAACAAACTCAGACCACCCACCCCCACCCACCCGGAAACCCTCGTCTCCCAAATACACCGGTTTAGGGTTCAAGTTTTAGGGTCCGAGACCAAAGACACCAAAACACAAGTATCCTTTCCGCCCAACCCCTAAACCCAAGAACCCTCGAACCCTAACCGTTGCGAAATGCTCATAGGCGCATCCCATCTTCCGAAGCGCAGGACATCTTGGGATCCGTGGCAGCAATTTAGGGTTTAGGGTGTAGTTTTTGACTTACGATTAGTGCCTTGGGTTTCGGGGTTTAGTGGGTTTAGAGTCTGTTTTGGGTTTTGGGGTTTCATGTTTTGGATTCGGTTTTCAAAAAGACCCTCCGAATCTGAGACATGTCTTCGGAGCGGTTTGCGATGACTTCGAGAATCGGCGAATTAAGTGCATAAACATTCATGTTCAACTAGGGTTATTGTACTGTATGCGCATCACGGCTTCGTGATGCTTTCGTGTCCTACAGGTTAATAAGGCTTTTACACAGCAGCTTGTAGAGCTCACAGGTTGTTGCAGGTTTTATGAGTTGTAGGTGTTAGCAGGTCCTCTCCTGTCGGGCTCATGGGACGGACGTGCTCCCGGCGAGGCTGCACCAAGGAGGTCAGCAGGTCTCGGCTCCAGCGTGGGCTGCGTACCTGCGCTGCTCACGGGAGAAGGCTGGCGCCAGGGAATCCGACCCTGCGCAGGCCAGAGCGTCGAGTCTGCTGCAAGCCGACGTGCTCCCAGCGACTCAGTGACGCTCGGCTGCAAGTAGGCATTCGTGCCTGCTTGCAGCGCGCGGGCCGCACGGGGGGCCCATCCCGGGGGGAAACTGCCAGTGCCCCGACTTGGTCCGCCGCTGCGGCATCTTTGCCAAGTTCGTGAGCGGCTCTTCACACATGGTGGCTCCGAACCTTCATGTTGCCCCTTGGGGGCCCCTGAGCAGAGACTGGGCTCTGGAGTACCACGCTTAAACACTTTTTTGGGGTACCTGTTCCTTGAAGGAACCATGATGAAATAACGGTCTATACTTTTTCTCTCAAGGAACCATGCTAAATAAAAGTCCATACTTTTTCTCTCCTTGGTTACTTCAACATCCAGGACAGATGCCGCCGGAAGAGCAACTCATCAACGTGCTGGAACTTAGACGCACGGGGTTGCAAACGGCGGACGTCGGATGGATCAAGGAGTGGCGCCCGGATCAGCTACTGCAGCACCTGTGCGACAAAGCTCTGGGCGGATGGTGTGATCTTCCTAACCAACACTCTGGGCCCATCCGCAATGCTTTTCGGAAGGCCTCGCAGTCCGGTAACCGGGAGGCCCTCCTGGAGCATTTGTCGGCAGCAGTGATCCAACCAGTCCAGGCCTTGTGGGACAAGCGGGGTTTGCTCTTGCACCTAGCTCGACAGTCCACCTGGTACCCGCTCCTGTCCGCCTTGCGCGCTGCTCATGGACATGATTTCTTCTGGGCGAATGTCGTAGCCTTCGACCTGCGCACGCAGCGGTTGGCGAACGCTTACCCGCGGGACAGGCAGGTGTACTGCGGCTTCGGCCCTGGGGGCTTGCGTGGACTCAATGCTGTCCTGGGTCGCGCTCCGACTGCAGCATTGGAGCCGCAGGTGGCTCTGCTATGGGCCAAGTACCTCGCTGACACTCTTGCTTGGCCGGGACCACGCCCTGAAGCGTATCTGGTGCAGCGGTGGCTCTGTGAGTTGTCTCAAGCCCCGATGTCCATTTGGAGAACAGGCTGACCGCGCCCGGAGGCGTATCCGGTGCAGTGATGGTTCTGTGAAGTGTCTCCAGCAACGACGTCCCTTCTGAAAGCAGGCTCGGTCGCTCAAGGATGCTCCTGTCAAAAAACCGCCGCGGGTACTTTAAGTAGACCACTCACTGACTTACTCGCTCATTCATTCCCTTGTCTGTTTACTCGCTCATTCCCTCACTCATTCATTCCCTTGCTCCCTCACTCCCCCTGGTAAGTTACACTATCCCAATGACCGTCATGTTCAAGATGCCTTTGGGAATGCAACAATGCCGAATGGCATTGCCTCAAGACTCGACGACTGCTTGGTTGCACATAATGTTCAAGATGCATTTGTGCATGCAACAATGCCGAATGGCATTGGCTCAAGACTGGACGACTGCTTGGTTGCACAAAGGAATGCTCGTGAGTGTGTGTGACTGGGGAAAGTGATTGATCTCGGTGTATGTTGCTCCCACTGTTTAGATTGTACACGGGCATTTTGCTCCCCCATGACACTTTGCTCCCCCACTCCCGCTCTCAGTGGTGCCACAAGGCAGAAACATAAGGGGGAGTGGGTTCCAAGCTGCGGTGTGCTGCGCAGACTGTCGTGCAATGATCCCACCCGCAGAAGTCAATCTCGGAACTGAACATGCTCTGGGCGAGTTGTTTTGGCTGCTTGGGGTGTTTTCAGGTGGACGTTCTTTGTTAGAGTGTGGACCAAACACTCGCTTTGCTACGTCTGAGCAGTGTTCAAGAGCCCGATCCGTAGTACTCCGTGCATGTGCTGACACGCCAAACCCTAAACCTTACATCCCTTTGCTGCTTGTACGGACGCCTGGTCGTTGCCGCTAGGCGCCGGATCCTGGCACAGATTGTGCCTCGAGGGCAGGGCTCTTGGATCGACGTCTGCGGGGTAGCCGTGCTTTCTGCGGGTAGCCGTGCTGTTCGCACACCTCGCTAAACCCCTACACCCTAAACCCTTACACCCCCTGCAGGCAGGAAAGCCACCAGAAGATACAGATCTCGAAGAAGAAAGCCCGGCACCTCCCAAACACGAAACACCCGAAAGCCACCTGCTGCCCCTCTGAGGTCCAGATTTGGGTGCTGCCTCGGAGACGGAGCCTTCTAGAGGCGGTTTCTTCAAGTAAAGATCGCGCCCGCGCCGAAACATTCGACCCGGGTTGCGCTGCACGGCAGGAGCGGACCGACACACCGCGGAGGTCGAGGCCGGGACAGTGTGCAGCCTAGGGGCCTCATGGGCTTCTTGTGCTCGACAGCTGTTGCGTGCTGTGCCTCCTCCTCTCAGGCCGCTCCACCCCTGCCCCCTCTCCTCCCGCTCCCTGCAAGGCCTGGTGTCTTGACTTCGAGCGAGAGCTTCTGTCTCCCGGGCCGGACGATGCAATACAGTACGGTGGTCCTGCTGCAATTTCCCTTCCCTCGACGTGTTGTCAGGATGTGTCGCTCGCCCGGTAGCTGCACTCGCTAGCTGTGCCCGCCTATAATGCACGCCCAGGACGGAAAACACACTTCGGCCAGATCCTTCATGGCTTGGTGTCCGCCGCAAGAGAGACTTGTGGCGCGGGCTGGCCGCGTCGCATATGTGTCACTGATTACGCCTGCTTTGCCAACAAGCAGCACTGGATTCTGCAAGGGCGTCCGCCCGTGTTGCTGGTGGTGTTGCCGCTGTTTTGCAGGTGCCAGATATTTTCGTAGAAGTTGTTTTTCTCGTGGCATATTCTGTACTGTTCGGCAGTTCCTTTGAGGCACGATGCGACACACCAAGCCTTGCTGGCCGTTCGGGAATGGCTTCCCCTAGTGTTTGACGGGCTGCAGGAAAGACGCAGCAGCATCATGGATGCAGCGAAAGCCTGCTGTGCCCAGATCGCAGACATAGCAGGTGTGCGGCTGTGCCCGCTCGCCTTGCAAGTGCCGCTGCAGCACTTGTGGCCGTGTCCTGGCCGAGATCCTGCCCACGCACGTGGTGGCTGACGGTCGTTGCCTTCATGCTCGCTTTTCGGCTCAGGCGCTCAAACTACAAGAGGATTTCATCAAGAAGGAAGCCTGGAAGAAGGAGCCGGCCGCAACGCCAGCGGCTTCGGCTGCACCCGTGCCGGCACTCGCTGGGCTCACCTTCCACAAGCTCACACCGCAGCTGGCGCCGAAGAACGTTCCGATCTACCTGCAGCAGCTTCACCACCGATCTCGATTGGTCGGAACTTTCCGCCCGTGCTGTCGGCCTGTTCGATGTCCTGCTTCAGGGTCAGTCAGGAGCGACTTTTGGCAAGGGCGTGTTGACCAAGCTTCGCAGCATCCACCCTGAAAGGGAGGACGGCCGCAAACAGCTGCACAACTTTGTTGGGCAAGTTCATCGGCTGGCCGCGCCGTGGCTCCCCCTGCACTAACTGCAGCGGCCTGCCAACGCCCGTGTACAGACTAGCGGTCAGCCCTTGCTCGGTCCCATGAAGCATGGACTTGTATGGACTCAAAAGCATGGACTTGTGTGGACTCGCAAGGCATGTCTGCGCGACTTGTCGTGGCAGATTCTGGCAGGCGGCCATCATCTCAAGAGCCGAGTAGCTAACGTATTGTTCCGAAGAGGCATGTTCCATCGACTCGTCGGGCATTGTTAGGTGTCCGATTGCCGACCATGCCAGTCCCCATGCATGCGCCCATTCCGGGTGGATCCCCGCTTTCGCTAGTGGACATGCGCCTGCTTTCTATGCGTGCGCAGGCCTCGCGCACTTTTCTCTAACTGCAACCAAAGTTTCACAACTTGAGTCGGTGCCGGCCAGCATGGATCGCAGCCCATGTTGGCGCCGCTTGGAGGCTCGTCTGGCTTAATTGGTTGCTTTGTTAAGCTCGGCCGTCCTGCGGTATCCTGCCGCCATGTTCCATCGCGCGCTAGGCTCAGGCAGCCGCTCTGAACTCCTTGAGGGCCATGGACTAGGACCGCCGAGGCCATGAACGGAACCTTACGCCAAACCCCAGATAGCCGCCTAAACCCTAATCCCGCCCCCGAACAAATCTACGCAGGACTGGGCGGCCTCCCTGTTAGCCTCTCCAGCCCGTGCGCGAGGCCGTGACTTCCAGGCGCCTCGGTCACAGCTTCGGTCATTTCTTCGCGACCTAGTCGCCCAATGAGGCACTGCTGACCTCAACGCCGCCCGCTTCACCAATTCTTCATATTGCAGTTCGCAATCCTTCAGCTTCTGGGCTGTTACACCGACGTCTCCCTCCCACGCATGCAAGCTTGCATGATGTTGTCAGGCATGCGAGTTGGGACTGTCGGTCGGCGAGTTAGATACCGGCGACTCCGACGAGGAGTCCGCACAACAGCAAAGCGATCTTCATGAGGGGCAGGCTCCGGGGGGGAATGGGTTCCAGCCTGTGTCGCATTTTGCAAAGGACATTGCGAGAATAAGTATGTGTCTGAGAGTTTCGGGACAAGCAGGGCCTGTCGGACTCAGGCAACCGCAGTAGCAGCAAGCCCGAAACCTTAAGACGCTGCAGCCCCCGGACACAGGATGATGGGATATGCGTCGTCTCCGACTCGGATCCGGAAGATGCCGAGGAGGAGATGTTGCCGGTTGACAGCCAGGGGCGTATTCTTGTCGATGTGGGTGACAAGGCCTGTTTGGATCCACGGTTGAGCACATGTACGCCGTATTCTCAACCCTAAACCCGAACCCTTATAAACCCTACGCTATAGAGACCTTGGCAGATTTACGCCATCGATGTGCATCAATTCGACAGCGTGGAGACACCAACCGAGCTGCTTCGAACACTCTACCGGATTCGCTACGAAAAGCCGGTGACAGAAGGCGACGAAGTGCTGCGTATGTCCTGGCGTGGAGGCAACTACCAGTATCAGGGTTTGCACACGAGGCCCAGTGCTTTGCAGTGGCCAAGTACCTCTGGCTCAAGTTCGGCGTCGAAGGACTCCCGGGCATGCCTCGGCATGTTTCCTGGGAGCCGCAGAAGCAACGTTTCCGCTGCCAGCTGCAAGCACAACGCCCGAAGGACAGCGACGAGCGGGCAAAAGGAAAGCCGGCCAAGTTCAGTAAAACCTTCCCTGCACCGTCCTTGTCGGCCGAGTCTTTGCGGCAGGGTATGGCAGCTGCTGTAGAGTGGCTTCAGCAGCACCTGGATGTCGTGCCGCCGGCGCCATCCGCCAGGGAGTACAAGTACGTGAAGGTGAAGCCTGCGGAAACGCATGGCAGTCGACGCTATCATGTGCAGATGCGTTCTGGAAAGCGTGACAACAAGATGCTGGGCGGAGGCCATTTCGAGTCGTTGGACGAGGCGCTGCAGAAAGCATCTCAGATGAGACAGCAGAAGAAGCAACGCCGCATGCCCGTCGCGAAGCCCTGAGAAGATTTCGGAACGCACTCCGCTGAAA